CACTTTATGCAATAAAGTAAAACTGTATATTAACTGTATGCAATAAAGTACAGTTAAGCAAAATGCACAGTTAATATAACAGAGTTAATACACCACAGTAACTGAAATTTGAACCATGTTGTTGGAACATTAGTGTTATTTAATTAAGTTGTGGTAACTGGAATTTATGCATATTGGAACCATGTAAAGAAAAGTATGCCTGTATTTTTGGATACTGGGTTAAAGTATATAATTAAAATTATTTGTACCTGTTTCTTTTTACTTTTTGAATTAACTAATAGAAAAATTTAAATCATATTTGTGGCTCACACTACATCCCTATTGGACAGTCCTGCTCTATACCATACATTAACAAAAAATTTAGGAGAAGAAAATAAAGAAATATACAGTTGAAAAAGAATGAAACATTGTTAGAGTTTTAAGTAGTCGGCAACAAAGGAAGAGATTCCAGTCTTCACAAATTGAACATGATTGTATAGTGAAAAACAGTAAAGCTAAAATTAAAAAGATAATAGATTGGGAAAATATTTGCATCATATAGGTAAGCCAAAGGCAATTTGCTGATATTATGAAATTATTCATTCAAACTTATTCCAAAATTATCAAGATCCCAGTAGATTGTTAAACAGATGAATAGGCAATTTATATTAGAGAAAATTGAAATAGTAAATGAATACCTAAAAAAAAGTTTATCTTGTCTAGTTATCAAAGGCATGGAAATCATTGTTAATTTCGAGTTACAATTTCCTGTCCACTCTATTAACAAAACAATTACAACCCTCAACACTGTGGGAAATTTGGTGATTTCATGCACCATGACTGACACTGTAATTAGAAACAACGCTTTTAGTTAGCAATATTGTATAAATAGGAAAAGACAAAAAGACATTTTTAACCCTTGGACCTAGTAATGCCTCTCCAGAGAATTTAAGAAAATGAAATAATCCAACAGGGATAAAAAGTTATATATACAGTAACATGTAGATTGTATAAATTCTTATAGTAGCAAAAAAAAAAAAAAAAAAGAAAAAGAAAATTTGAGGACATTCTAAATGTCTGATATAGAACACTACATCCAACAGTGACAAAATGCGTTATATTTTCCAAGTGCTTATGGAAGGTTTACTAGAGCTTAGCACATGCTGTGTCATAAAGCAAGCTGCAATATATTTCAAAGGAGTGAAATCATTCAGAATATGCTCTTTGAGGACAGTAGAATTATGCAAGAAATCTGTAACAAAAGCTAACCAGAAAATCACCAACTGCTTTAAAAGTAAGCTATTAAATTACAAATAACTCGTGAATCAAAGAAGGAAACACAGTAAGAACTAGAAAATATTTTGAACTAAATGATAGCAGAGACATGGTGTATCAAAACATGTAGATAACAGATAAATAACGCTCAAGGAAATAATTGCCAACCTAGAGTTCTATAATAATAAAAATATTTTTCAAATAGGATGATGAAATAAATATATCATCAGATTAGCAAAAACTAGGAGAATTCATTCAGTGCCTAGAGGAAAATTTATATTCTCAAATGTATATGTTAGAAAAGAATTAAATGCTACATATCAATAATTCAAGTTTTAATCTGAAAACAAAACACAATTTTAAATATCACCACACACGACAAATTAATCCAAAGAAAGTAGTAGGAAATTAATAGTAAAAAGAAAAGCAGAAATAAGATAAGCAGAAAATAAGTATTAATGCAATAAAGAAAAAAACCTAATTTCTTGAAAAATACATATTAAATGGATAAAGTTATGATAAGATTGATGTAAAAAAGAGAGCAAATTACCAATACCAGTAAAAAATAAGGAGACATTAGTATAGATGCTATAGATATTTAAAAGAGAAAAAGACATTACAAATAATATTATGCAAATTTCAGTGAAAGAAATTCCTTGGAAAACATAGCTTACCAAAATTGACACAATAAGAAAGAGTAATTATAATATTATATATCTACTAAATAATTTAAATGTTTTATTTCAAACTTCTGCGCAAAGTATACTCCTGGTCTGGATGGTTTCTTTGGTGATTGGTAGCAAATATTAAAGCAAGCGATAACTCCAATTTTTATACACTCTTCCAGAAAATAAAAAAGAAGGTAGCCTTCCTAGACTTTCTATGGGACCAGCATAATCTTGATAGATAAATTAGTTAAGGAAATTGTAAGAAAGGAAAATTACAGACAAACTTGTAGCATGAAATATATATATATATATATATATATTCTAAATAATATATTAGGAAATAGAATTCTTTGATATATAAGTAGAGAAGGTATCAAAACCAAAAGAAGTTTATTTCAGAAATGCTAACGGTGATTTACTATGAATAAAAAGTCAATATAGTTCACCATATTTGCAGAAAAGTGGAGATAAATAAAATTATCTTAATGATTACAAAAACACGTTTGATAAAACGCAGTATTAGTTCATGATAAAAACTCTTAGCAAACCAGGAAATCAATTTGATGGTGAATTATTGGAAACTTTCTTCCTGTGATTAGGAGCATGATATGGATAACTGCTACATCTATTAAAAGAAAAATAGAAATCTTAACCAAGGCAATAAGGCTATATAAAAGAAATAAAAAACAGTTTGGAAAAGGCTGAAATAAAACTGTCACTTTTCATGGACAACAAAATTGTACATAGAGAATCTAAAATAGAATCTGGAGACAACTACTAGAATTTATAAGTAAATTTGGCTTGGTTGTTGGATCCAAGATCAATGTATGAAATCAACTGCATTTTTATATATTGGCAACAAAAATGCAAATAAAATTAAAATTAAAAAGATATGATTTACATTAGCATAAAAACTTTCAAATCTAGAAATGTGTTTAATGATAGATGTTTAAGATCTTTATGCTGAAAACTATAAAACTTTGCCAAGAGAAATTTTAAAAGCCTAAATATAGAGAGATCTATCCCCCCATTTTTGTAGTTTAGAATGAAAACGGCCAGGATATAAATTGTCTCCAGCCTAATCTTTAGATTATACACAATCCTAACTAAAATCTCAGCAGGTTTTGTGTAGAAATTGACAAGCTGATTCTAAAATTCATATAAGAATGCAAAAGGCAAAACATAGTCAAGGAGATTATTTATAAAAAGAAAGATTATGTTGAGGACTTACACTTTCAGATATTGAGACATACCATAAAGCTATTGAAATTAAGAGAGATTGAACTTTACATAACAATAGATAAAAAGACCAATGGAACAGAACAGAGACTCCACATCTCTATAGTTATCTGATATTTTACAAAAGTGACATTGCTGTATAGTGTAGAAAGGATGACCTTTTTAATAAATGGTGCTGTTATTTGGATATCCACATGGGAAAAATAAATCTTTATCTTACACAAATCAATTCCAGTCAGATTGTAGATCTATATGCAAAAGTTTATATTTATTTGTTAATAAATGCTTTTAGGAAAAAAACACAGAAGATATACTTATTATCTCAGGTAGACAAAATTTTCTTAATTGGGATATAAAATGTACTAATCATAAAATGTTCACTTGGACTACATTAAAGTCAGGAATTTCCTATTCATTAAAAGATACCATTAAGAGAGTGAAAACATAAGCCACACAATATTGAGCATATTGTTAATAAATATAAAAAGACTCATATCCAGAATATATAAAGAACTGAAAATCATTGAGAAAAAGTTAAATAATGCAATATAAAAATAGGCAAATGACTTAAACAGTCACTTCATGAAAGAGGATATCCCAATGGTCAATAAATGTGAGAGCATGTTTAACCTCATCAGTCATCAGGGAATGTAGATTGAAATCACAATATGACACTACTATGCATTCATTGGAATAGCCAAGCAAAGAAGATGGATAATACAAAATATCGGTGAGGGTATGGAACAAGTGAGCTCTCATTCATTGCCGATAGGAGTGTACATTGGTACAACTACTTTGAAAAAATGTTTGCAAGTCTCTACTAGCAATATGCATATCCTATGAGCCAGCAATTGCACTCCTGGCTATATACCCAATAGAAATGCATGCACAGTGCACCCAAAATATACAAGAACGTTCATTGTATTATCTGAAATAGTTGCAAACTGGAGCAACATGTGTTCATCAACAAAAAATGAATACATAAACTTTGGCATATTTATACAATAAATACTATAAAGCAATAAAAAATAATGAACCGCTGCTACATGGAACAAAGGGTAAGTTTTCAGATGTTAATGTTGACTTAAATAAGCCTGACACATATGATTTGATACTGTATGATTATATTTATATTAAGCACAAAAATGTAGGCAAAACCAGTCTTTGTTTATGAAAGTCAACATAATGGCTGACTTTGGGTGGGTGCTGTGATTGAGGTGGGTTGCTGGTAATGTTTTGTCATTCAGCTAAATGGCTGTTTATAAACTTTGTAAAAATTCATCAAGCTATTTTAAGATTTATGAGTTTTTGCATGAATGTTATATTTCATAAGAAAGTTTATAAAGCAGAATAGGAACAGGGAAATTGTGTGTGTGTGTGTGTGTGTGTGTGTGTGTGTGTGTGTGTGTGTGTGTGAGATGTGGGATGTGGTCAGGATTGCTGAATGTTTCTGCACACCTTAGAAAGAGGAAAGGTGCAGGAGAGAAACAATTGAGCCCAATCGAGTTGAAAGTGAGGAAACCTACATAGTATTCATGAGGATGGAGAGTCTGCCATGTGTTCTGTGATTCATAGCTCATGAAGGACTTCTCTGTGCATTAACTCAATTCCTCTTCACAACAACCTTTTGATGTAAAAATTAATTATTATCTCCATTTTGCCTTTCAGAAAACAGACTCAGAGATATTGGGTGATATTTCTTTTCCTTTCTTTCTTTCTTCTTTTTTTTGAGATAGAGTCTCACTCTGTAGCCCAGGCTAGAGTGCAATGGCGCGATCTTGGCTCACGGCAACCTCCGCCTCCTGGGTTCAAGCGATTCTCCTGCCTCAACCTCCTGAGCAGCTGGGATTATAAGCATGCACTACCACGCCCGGCTAGTTTTTGTATTTTCAGTAGAGATGGGGTTTCACCATGGGTGATATTTCCAAGGAAGCAAAACCATGAAGTGTAGAACCACCATGCTGTTTTCACTACACTGCTGTTAGAAAACTAGACATTTGGATGGAAGAACATGCTGTGCTCTGAAGGTTTGTGTCCCTCCAAAATTCATGTTGAAACTTAATCTCCATCGTGCTGGTTTTTGTTGTTGCTGTTGTTGTTGTTTTTGTTGCTTTTTGGTTTTTTTTTTTTTTTTGAGATGAAGTGTCACTCTGTTGACCAAGCTGGAGTGCAGTGGTGCGATCTTGGCTCACTGCAACCTCCAACTCCCGGGTTCAAGTGATTCTCATGCCTCAGCTTCCTGAGTAGCTGGGATTACAGGAATGCATCACAATGCCTGGCTAAATTTTGTATTTTTAGTAGAGATGGGTTTTCACTGTGTTGGTCAGGCTAGTCTTGAACTCCTGACCTAGTGATCCACCCACCTCGGCCTCCCAAAGTGTGGGGATTACAGGTGCGAGCCACTGTGCCCGGCCTGTGGTAGTTTTAGGAGGTGAAGCCTTCTGGGAAGTGAGTAAGTCATGCGGGCTCCACCCTCATAGATGGGATTAGTGTCTTTATAAAAGAGGCTTTGGAGAGCTGCCTGACCCTTTATCCCTTCCACCATGTGAGGACACAGCATTTGTCCCTTCCGGAAGATGCAGCAACATGGTACCATCTTGGAAACAGAGAGTAGACCCTTACCAGGCACCAAATCTGCTAGCACCTTGGTCTTGGACTTCCCAGGCCCCAGAACTGTGAGAAATCAATTTCTATTATTTATACATTTCCCAGTCTAAATTATTTCATTATGACAGCAGGAATGGACTAAAACAGAATATGCTATATGCTATGTGGAATTAATTATTCCTCACAAATTTTCTATGAAGTTGGCGTTATCATCTTCAGTTTGCAGATGTGGTTCAGGAATACCAAATAACCTATGAACATACGATCTAGTAAGTGGCCAAGGCAGTATCTGAACATGTATCTGTCTTCCTCTAAAGCTCATCTCTTTCTCTCAAATGTAGCTGCTAGCTGCTTATGTGTGGTATAAACGATTCAGCTGCAAGAACTCAGACAGCAGAAAGATCACTGTAGGGTGGGTCAGGGAGCCTTTGTGGAGGTGAAGGTACCCTTTGGGACAGATTTATTAAATAGTTAATTAATTTTTTTCTCAACTTTTATTTTCTATTCAGGGAGTACATGCACAGATTTGTTACCTTGGTATATCGCATGATGCTTAGGTTTGGGAATACAAATGATTCCATCACCCAGGTATTGAGCATAGTACCCAGTAGTTAGTTTTTCAACCCTTGACCCCTTTATTCTCTCCCTCCTCTAAGAGTCCCCAGTTTCTATTGTTGCCATCTTTATACCCATGAGTACCCAATGCTTAGCTCCCATTTTTAAGTGAGAATGTGCAGTACTTGGTTTTCTGTTTCTGCATTAATTCACTTAGGATAATGGCCTCCAGCTACATCCATGTTGCTGCAAAGTAGTCCATAGTGTATATGTACCACATTTTCTTTACCCAGTCCACCACTGATGGGTTGACTCCATGTGTTTGCTATTGTGAAAGTGCTCAATGCACATGTGAGTGCATGTGTCTTTTTGGTAGAAAGATTTGTTTTCTTTTGGATATATACCCAATAATGGGTTTGCGGGTCAAATGGTAGTTCTGTAGAAATGTAGAAATGAGAAATGAGATGAGATTAAATAGGAGACCAAGATGTGGAAAGAACTCTGAGTTTTGGGGGAATGGAGAAGATCAAGAAAATGTTGGAAGGCTCATTGGTCAGTGAGCAGCCTTGTTTGGCTGAAGTAGAGGGTTTTTTAAGTTCCAAGAAGTCGAAGACTGTTTTGTGAATTGAGTTATCCCCAATGCTCAACACAAATTAAATGCTCGATTAATACCTGTTGAACAAATGAAAGGATAAATGAATAAACCAATTGGTTAGCATCAAAATTTGTGCACTTTTTAGAAACGTAACAGTTTATGGATGGCATAGTTCATTCAGTCCACTGATAACACAATGAGGTTTAATTTGACACACTAGTTGAAAACCTGAGAAGTACCTAGAAAACGAGATGGTACCAGCTAAGCCAATTGAGAAAATATTCAGGAAAATCCGAGTGTTCTAAGTGTGACTGCTTTTGAGTCCTAAAGGTATCTGAAGGCACAGGGTGAAGGCTTAGATGAGTGCCTATCCTGGGGCCAGCACCTGCAGACTGTACTGAGAGTGCCTGCCCAACTCCTTCCATTTGGGACTTTTGAGCCTTTGTCCTTGCTGTCAGACTGGTGCTTTTGGGAAACTTCTCTATAAGCTCTGTTTTCACAAGAAAAATAATTTGTTGGGATAATGATCTACATGATGCGACAGAGTATTTCAGGCACTACCTCCTATTTGAAGGGAGAAATAGTGTTTCAGTTCGCTCCCTAAGAATTTCTCTTTTTTGATCTTGCAGGAACATTACTCCCAAATAGGTTCTGCCCATGGGATGTGGAGATGAGGAATTTTCTTACCTCAGTGTTGCTGACACTTAGATCCATGTGCTTCTGGAAAGACTCATTTCTAAGAAATCATGGCTGATTGAATGATTGTATCCCCCAGGTGTTTAATAATGGATCCATGTCAATCCTAAAAGAAGTTTCTTGTGGACTGCAATAATGTTCTGCCTGTAAACGTCTCCATTTTATCATCCACTCATGAAGATGTGAAAGCCAGACTTTAGACAGACAATTAAAGGGTATTAGTAATGTATATTGGATGAGAAATTGTGACACAAAATTTTAAAAGGCTGCAAAGGTGTGCTAAAATTCACTAGGTATTAATGATGTCATAGGTTCAGGTAGACACTGAGACAAGTGTGAACAGAATGCATGAGATTACACTGAAGTTCAATTAACTGCTAGTCAAAAACTAAAAACTAAAACAATGTATTCTGTAGTAAACACTTGCAGCCCTGTGCTCCCAGTTCACCTTTTCTAGAAGTTGCCCCTTCTCCTTGTCCAGATGGTTGCAAAAAAGCACTGAAGTCACAACATGACCTGGTACCTGGCCACAGTTGATAGGTCCAGAAATTGATATTCAACTTAAGAATAAGGATCTGTTCTGTTAATCAGAACCAAGAACGGTAAGCTGGCCTGTCTTCGAAAGCCTGGACTCTAAGAAGTAAAGCTCTGGATTTATGGGCAGCCATGTCCCCTATCACTGGGTCTTTGGAGAGAGGATGTGGACATGAGAGGTGGAGAGACTCCTGTCTACATTTGGATTCCTCTGGTCAGTTGTTCCTGTGGCTCCACTGCCTTTCTCTTCCTTCAGTATTACTGTATTCTAATAACCTAATAGATCCTTATATCTTCCCTTTCAACTCAAGCTAATTAAGTTTCTGTTTTTTGCAAAGCAAAATGTTCCAAGTCATAACACATGACTTAAGCTCCAGATATAGTGCCCTGAATAAGGGTGGAGTAATCATAATACTGAATCTCCAGGTGGCCATGTCTAAACTTTGCCTTGGCCACACAAATGTGGTCAGCGTGGTCATTTCCAGGCTCAACTTTCTGAAGATAATGGTCAAGAAACAGAAGTCTCTGAGGAAGAGCAGGTAGCTGTTTAGAAATGTTTAAAGGGTTGCCATGTATATGTCAAAGTAGATGTTCTATGTTGCTCCAAAGGGCAAAACTGATACCAATAGTCAAAAGTTGGAATGCAGATTTTGACTGAATATGAAAATTGTGTGTGTAAGTATTAGAATTATCAAATAAAGGAATGGATGACCTAGTGAAGGATCAATGTATCTTTCAGTGGAAGGTTGGGTCAGAACTTAGATATACATTTATTTGGGAGTTTGATGAATAGATGGCTACTAATAGCTATCGTTGATCAAAGGCTTTCTATGTGTCAAGCACTGTGCTTGACATATGCTTTATATAAATTTACTCATCTTCATAATAATCATATGAATAGATATATCTGATATGTTTAATACTAGTTATCAAATATTATGTATAAGTACAATATTTTGGTAATTTTAAATGTAAAATTAAAAAGATAATTTGTAATGCTTCAATTGTGGAATTATGCTACAATTAATTTCAGTCTTTGTAGTATTTGTAATTTTACCACTTCGTGGCATTTTTGCTACTTTTAAGTTTTAAACTCTTTTACTGATACATAATTTTATGCATATTTATGGGGTATGTGTGATATTTTATTACATGCATAGAATGTGTAATGCTGAAATCAGGGTTTAGGGTATTCATCACCTCGAGGACTTATCATTTCATTGTGTTGGAAACATTTTAAATCCTCTCTTCTGGCTATTTTGAAATATGCAATACATTGTTGTTAACTATAATCACCCTACTCTGCTATTAAATATTAGAACTTATTCCTTTTCTTTAACTGTATGTTAGTTCTCACCAACCCACCTCTTTTCATCCCCCAGCAACACCCCACCAACACACACACACACACACACACACACACACACACATACACACTCACTTCTCAGCCTCTGGTAACTATCATTCTACTCTCTATCTCCATGAGATCAACTTTTTTAGTTCTCGTATATGACCAAGAACATGCCATATGTGTCTTTCTCTGCCTGGCTTACTTCATTTAACATAATGACCTCCAGTTCCATCCATGTTGCTACAAATGACAGGATTTCATTTTTTTACGGCTGAATAGTATTCCACTGTGTATTTTTGCCATATTTTCATTATCCATTCATTGACTGATGGTTATTTTAAATTAATGAATAATTCCCAATTTTGACTCAGTTCTATAGGCTATAGTGGCCCTTCCAGATATTAAAATAATATAAGCTACCACATTTTCATTTCCATTATGATTATTTCAGTTATATTTACCCAATTGCTTCCCATATATTTTTCTGGGTATAGTTGATAATGTCCTTTTGTTTCTTATATAGCAGGAAAACCAACTTTCGTTGTCCTATTCTCTAGCTGTGAAGTTCAACTATTTTATCTTTCATAGGTGGGTAAGAACAGGAGTAATATTTTCTATTTTACTGTTGATCACCATCCCAAAATCCTTAATATTATTTGCTCCATAAAAGTTCCAAAACCAACACTCAAGAGTTTGCTTAACATCAGACTGAGTAAATAACTTCTTTGAAAAGTTAACCAGAATTTGATATCTAGTCTGACCTATGATATTCTTTATAAAATAAGGAATTCTTATGTATCATACTGAAATCTAAAATATATATTCTTGAGCTTTAAAATGCTTTCTAAAACTTTCTATTTAATTCTGCATTTTTTTTACCAGCTACTGTAAAAATTCTGCCACATCACATCATTGTTGCCTTACTTTGTTCATCCTTGTTTCCTAGTTTGTCCCATGTTTTTTAACTCTATACAATGCCAGTAAAGAGACTAAACATAAATATACAGAGATCATGGCTAAGCCAGATGCAGAGAGCCTGATAGTGAATGCCAGATGCCAGAGATTCTCTTCAATTTAAATATTCAGCACCAGGTGGTTCAGTTGACCTAACAAAAGAACACGTGTTCATGAGATACAAAGATAGAATTGGAGATACCAGTTCTCATTTGGATAAAATTTAGTTATTTAATGAAAGCTTGCAAGAAGGGTTTGAAATCAAGTAAAAATGAAATTGAGTTAAATATTCATTTACATCTATACAGAAGGAAAATGTTATTGCAATTTGTAAAATTTCTTTTCAGAAGTAATTCTCAGGACAAATGCTAGTATTTATAACATCAGCTAGAGAAAAAAATCCTTTAATTATGCTTTAGAAAAAGCATAATATTAAGTCTGTTTCCAACTCCCTAAAGAGTGGCAATAATTAAGATAATCAATGTTTCCTAATGTGGGTTAAAGTAGAAATAGAATTTCTTATAAAATACATTGTATTTCTTGTTTTGAAAGATCTTATAGCTCAAATTTAAGTTGGTGCCTTTATAACTAGCTACAGTAAATAAACTGGCCATGGACTTTGATCTTACACAGAAACTAACGACCTTAGGAGTATTCCAGGATGTTTTATTAACACAAGTGAAGTGAGTTAACACAGATGTGCTGCAATATGTGTTTGTGATACGTGTTCACATACACGTGAAGCATATGTGTGTGCATGCTGTTCGGTACTTCTGTTGTCAAAGTGGCCACTGTCTTAGAAAGCCATCAAATGAGGGCAGGATGTTAACTTTACCATTAACTAAGCAAGACGACGTTGCCATCACTTACATTTATTCCTTACAAGTTACTTTTTAAGTGTACAATAGAGGTTCATGAGAAAGTAGCCCCTTAAAAATGTTTTAGACAATATTTAAAATACGTATAGCAAATGAGTAACTATATAGTCAATGCATTGGAATCATACACTTGCTGTATATTATTGCTTTGTAAGGGGTTGTATTAGTTTTCTGTCACTTCTATAATCAATTACTACAAATTTGACAGCTTAAACAGTGCAGACTTATCATCTTATGGTTCTAGAGAGTAGAAGTCCCACATGGGTTGCACTGGGCTAAAATCAAGGTATCTGTTGTGTTCTTTCCTGGATACTCCAGGGCAGATTCCATTTCCTTGTCTTTTCTAGCTTCTAGAGGCCACCCACATTCCTTGACTCATGGTCTCCTTCGTCTATCTTGAAGGCCATCATCATTGCATCACTGTGCTTTTCTTTTGTGGTCACATCCTCTGACTGACTCTGCCTCCCTCTTCAACTTTTGAGGGCCTTCGTGATTACATTGGGTCACTGGATAGATCAGCACAATCTTCCTATTACAAGGTAAATGGATTAACAACCTCATTTCCACCTGGTCCCTTAATTCCTCTTTGCTATGTAAACACTTGCAGCCCTGTGTTCACAGGTTCTGAGGATTAGAATGTGAACATTTGGGGGCAACACTTATTCTGCCCATTACGGGGTGATTTGGGGGGTTTCACCATCCAAAAAGCAGACTTTTGCATAATTTCTTTGTTTTTAAGACAGCAGCCCATCTTTTGCTGCTGGTGTTTGGACTCCCTTGATTCAATTTCTCTTCCTGTCTTCTGCTATTGCAAAGGAAGGCCACAGTCTAACTGCATCTGGCTGAGGAGGAAACCTTGGGGTTTATCTCCTTCTTGACCAACTCTTCTCTTTTCTGTCCCATTCTATTTCCCCATCTTTAGGAGTGCCATGTCCTCCCAATTTTAAGCCTCTTTAGGGTTCTAGCCTGTGAATTAGTTTCCAAGCTTGGCCACTGAAATAAATTTTGTTCTACCTAATAGCATTTTTTGCCCACAATTTTTTTCTTTCTAATTCTCTTGTTTCTTATGGATAAAAAATTAATTGCTATAGTTTTAGAAAGGTTTCAGGAGAAAGTAGAGACATACATGTGTGTTCCATCAGCCATGTCTAACCAGAAGTCTAAGATACTTATTTTATAGAAGACAAAGGCCTAAGCCTGACAAGTAATTTGTCTAAGATCACAAAGACAAATAAATTGGAACCAGAATTCTATTCTAGGCTTTTCTGATCTTTGTTTTGGGAGGATGATTAGATGCAATAAACTTTAAGGTCTCTCCTTAATATATTAAAGATACATTAAACCACACTGATTCTCAAGATTTATTGTCTGTCTCAGCTGAGAGGCAATTTGTATTATATACATGCCATATAGTTCTGATAAGATTTTAATTAGCTTGAGAAATTTATATGTCTTCATAACTCATATTGTGTCATATACATGATGGTCACCTGATAAATATTATAATCAAAGAATATGAATGCTTATTTGCCAAGCAGAATTGATCTTCAGAGTTTCCTAACGTGTAATCCTAGGATCTGGCCTAGGGCTCAGATAAAACTCCTGTTACTATGTAATGGTAATTACATAGCAAGATTCTTCACTCCAGTCAGCTGCTCACATGTTGCTCCCAAAGCTCTTACAGAAGCAATTTGAGATAAGATGGCCAACGTTAACTGTGTATATTATTACTGCTGGCTAGCTATTGGCATAGTACCTAAATTTCAGGTAAGTGTTTTGATCAACACATTTGGTATTTGGAGAACATTAATGGGAGTCATCAATGTTAGCGATATTTTTCTTGTAGTCTCCTAGCCTCAGGTGTAGTGGAGATAGTGTTTAGGCTGAGCTATGACCTTCACTGCTTTAAGAATTAAAAATTTTGTGGTGTCAAGCAAACGAGAAGACAAACCACAGACTGGGAGAAAATATCTGTAAAAGACATATCTGATAAAGAACTATTATACAAAATATACAAAAAACTCTTAAAACTCAACAATAAGAATACAGACAATTTGGTTAAATAGTAGATAAAAGACCTTAACAGACACCTCACCAAAGGATGTATTCAGATGGAGAATAAGCATATGAAAAGGTGGTCTACATTGTATGTTATCATGGAAATGAAAATTAAAATGACAAAGAGATATCACTAGGCACCTATTAGGATGGCCAAAATCCAGAATGCTGATAAAACCAAATGCTGGCAAGGATGTGGAACAACAGGAACTCTCATTCATTGCTGGTGGAAATACAAAATGGTACGTCACTTTGGAAGACAGTTTGGCAATTTCTTACAAAACTAAACATGCTCTTACCATATGATCCAGCAATCACACTACTTGGTGTTTACACAAAAGAATTGAAAACTTATGTCCACACAAAAACGCGAACATGGATGTTTATAGCAGCTTTATTCATAGTTGCCCAAACTCAACAGCAACCAAGATGTCCTTCGGCAGGTGAATGGGTAAATAAACTCTGGCGCATCCA